TTAGACCCAAACGAGGTGGTGGCGGAGAAATAGTCCTCAGTCTCCACGGAGGAATCTTCCGGAGTGTCCCCGAGAGCTTGATCTCTCCACGCCGGAGAGAGGATCCACGATGGAGAGGGGGTCTCCAAGAAATTCACAGGAGAAGTCGCCAGAGATGGTGGTTTACCGTTAGATTGCTCACTATACAAGAAACTTGTTTACCGTTAGCATGTTAGCCTTAAGATTAGAGACACGTAACGATATAGTAACTTACACAGCATTAGGTAACTCCGGAGAAGACGGACTGTTGGGCATGGGCTTCAACCGTGGTCACTCTAGAAACCCATTTCCAAAGGGGCCAGCAGGCAGAAGCCCGACGAGCTCGGCCCAGAAGGTATAAGCCCAACGAGCTCATTTCAGTACTTTACGATTCGGGCCCGAGGGAGGCCCAGTCATCTTCTGAAACAGATGACATCGGCGCCGGTCCCGAGGAAAACCTAGTACCTTACTCATTCTACTTTTAGTATAAATAGGGGACCCCATCCCATAAGTTAAGGATGTTTTTTCGATTCAAAGACAAGCATAAAAGAATTTGAGAGCTAAAAACAATCATTCTCTCACACCAAAGAAAAGAATCTTCTGATTGAGCTCGATCGATCAGAAAATATAAGAGCTGTTCACTGATAAACACACAGGGTTTCTACTCGCCGCTCCGAGGAACCGACCTCAGATACTCACTCACAGACCTCGACTTCCACGACCTAGAACACAGCGACCTCGTATCTTCCAAGCTCGATACACAGTTCTTCTTCTGTCACTTATAATATCATTTGTTATAACCTATTCCGAGTTAGCATCACTAAACGAGAATTTCCGATCCTTTACCGAATACAAATACATTGTCGAACACCTGAATCAACAATTGGCGCGCCAGGTAGGGGTGTGCTAGAAATTCTCCAACTCACGATAAAAGCTCGGAAATGGAAAAAAATCCAGCAAGAGCGAACCCTAGACGACCAGGTTATCCTTGATACCCCGGATCGCCCTCAGGTCGTCCAACCAATAGCCGTCCAGGGAAGGCAAGCGGAGCCCGAGCCAAGAACAACCGCAACCGAAGAAGCAGCGGTCACCCCGGGTCAGGACCCTATGATAGCCATGATGGAGGTGATCATGCAGCGTTTTGATCGTCAAGAAGAGCAGACTCGCACCACCAACTCACGGCTCGACTTTCTAAGCTCGGCACAGGCCGGTTACCGAGCACAGCTGGACCAACTTCAACCAAGGTCAAATCAAAATTCACCACANCCTCGNCGAAGTTCGTCTCNGACCCCGGAGCGCNGGACCAGAGTCGAGANGACCGGACGATTGGACAATCTAACAATCGATCCAACACTGGCTCGAGAGCCGCTCGTCCAAGCCCCCAACACCGCGACTCAACCGCAGCCGAAGAACGAAGGATGCAACCCCGGGCTCAAGATTCTGAGATCGAGGGAATGAAAGCCCGGCTAAGGGACATTAATTCTAAGGTC